ATGGCAAGGCGGTAATGGCTGCATGCCACCGGGCATTGTACATAGACCTCTGTAAAGTGTCGGATGTGATTATATACACGGACGGGTCCAAGTGTTCTGAGAGGGCTGGTGTAGCCTGGAAGATGTTTGAGAAAGGGGCCTTGACCCATATTGACGGGTGCTCAGTGCCACCATCTTAGAGTACTGTGGAATGTGAGTTGTTTGCTGTTGTGTGTGCCCTGCGGCATGCACAGAGTATAGCCAAGAGGTGCCCAGTCCATGTGCTTTTGGACTGTGTACCGGCCCACATCATGGTTGACAACATGTTTTCCGATAGTGACTCGGCTGAGTTGTGGGAGGTAATGGTACCCCTGTTGAATGCATTCTCACATGTTAGTTTTAGTTGGGTCTCAGGTCACGTGGGTATTGACGGTAACGAGATGGTTGACCTAAAGGCTAAGGCCTGAGTCCGATGCTCCTTGCACCCTCTGCTTTAGGAAGGGGTTAGCTTTAGGATTAGTTATGCAGCCCAGGCTAGGGAACTGCGTATGGAGGAATAGGAGACCTGACATACTAGGGAAGGGTACGAGTATTATGCACGGGAACCGAAAGCACTCCGACACCTCTGAGGCCTGACCCAAATGGATTCCTATGTTTTGTTAAGGATCCGTAGTGGGACAGGCATGGTTGGCCATGACACCTGTGATGGGAAGAAAAACCGACACCACTAGATTGAGTGCCCCCGATATATTAGAGAGCGTCCTACTAATGAAGACTTGTATAAGGATTCAGCAGTCCTGAGATAGAAGTACTGGTAGACAGATTATTGGTGGTTGGACCTGGGAATCCCTCGTCATTTTGGGGTAGTGGATGGGGAGTTAGTTGTGGCAGGTAACCCCTTTAATAGCACATTGATAGTGGAAAGGGATGGGGAGACAGTGTTGATAGGGGACCCTATGACCTGCATCTGGTACAAGAAGAAACATGATGGTAGTGGCCACGTCTTACCGGGTGAGGTGATATTACCGAAAAAGTGGTTCTTTTTACCCGACCAGCGGCGGTGCGAGTGTCCCTGTTACATTGCAGACATTTCCGCTATGGCTACCAAGAAATGCGCTACATTTGCGGAACACTTCGAGAAATGTCCTCGGTGTTTATGGATATGTTACGATCGGTTTTGGTATGCTCAGCATTAGTAGTAGGACGAGCTAAACCTGGCAACCTGAACATCGGTGGTCTGGAGGTGGGCTAAGGTGAATGGATTGCTGAAGGAACCATGCTGCCCCTTTTATAGTTTGGTGTTGGCAGAAGGTAATTTGGATCTTGGGTTGCATTACGAGAGGACGGAGAGATGTTGGGACAGACTATATATTTCCTTTGTTAAGTACGTGGGCCAAATTGTGTTGGGGGCAGATAGGGGTGAGGGTATGAGACAATGGCTGGGTAGCGAGGTGGGAAGGTATGTTAATCTGGGGCAGTGCTAGTTGCTATGAGCGCCCATGAGCCCATTTAGGTAGTGATTTTTAGATTTATGTTTAGGGGGAGTGGTTGCAAGACGGAATGGTCCGCGGTAGTATATTTTAGATACTTTGTTTTTATGGGGCATGGGGGAGACTAGTCGTATGCTAGTGTTAGCGGTACTAGTATAAATAAAATTAGATTGAATTCTAAGTACTTTTCCTACTTATTACTTTAATGAATATAAAACACCTTCACAATTATTATCTTTATTGCAATGTTATCGTTATGCCAAGGAAGGCACTTCACGAAGAAGAGTTAGAGAAAGCTTACCATAGGCATTCCCGATAGAAGACAAAGGTCTTGGACTATCGGTAACGTAGGCAGAGCCCTAGTACTATTGTAAGACAAAGGAAAGAGACAGAAGAAGAAGAGAAGTATCATTCCCTATCACCAAGAACTAACTGTCCGAGGAGGGATCATTACACAGTCAACCCTCCTAGGAACAGGTCTTAGTGTGACCTTAGACTAGTGTCTCAGAGTCCTTAACGATTCTCCAATACTATTACACTTTCGGGGCAATGGACTTCAGTTACCTCGCCTACTAGCCTTCGGTAACCTCATATATTACCTTAGACTTCAAAGTAGTATTACTCCGTCAGTTCTGGTCCGTTTTACACAAAACTACCTCGAGACCATTCTCCAGATTCACCTCTACCCCCTTACATATACTGCAGACAGCTTCCAGTCGGACAGACAGTGGGAGCATATACGGTGTTACAAGAGTATCTCCACCCAAAGACATACACTAGGCTTGCAGCAACTCTCTAGGCTATAGCTCATGATGCCAGGGACTTATAATGGGGCTGGAGAGGGGTGTTAGCCACTACACCTCCAAGTTACAGCTTGTTTAGAGCTCAACTGGTTGTGCAGGAGTGATCCGCACAACCTGAGTTTCCAACACCCTATGTAGTTTCGCATGACAAACAATCTACTAACTTCCCCCGAACTCCTGCATAACAAGTTACTTTTAAGGTAGGGTAACTTGGCTCCATAACAGGGTAACCCATAGCCCAAGGCAGGGTAACTTTAGTCTAAAGGTAGGGTATTTCTACCTGGACTCAAGGTCGAGTAATTCAGGATAACTCCCAAATCGACTACTTAGGTTACCCTACTGAGTAGGGTAACTACCGCTCCTTACTAGTACCTGTATACTTGTTAATATAGTATAGCATACCTAACAGAGGTACCTAACTAACAGTCTTTCTAGCCGGTAGACTCTAGTCTACCACTATTCCTACCATAATAGTCTCTTGATACCAGTCTGGGTCTAGGTTTGGTTAACTGTAATAGTACTCCGTGGAGTCTCATTACACTTGGGGATAGGAAATGGCATCATCCTGCGGTTCCAGAAAAATATCCTGTGGGATTACCAGAATCAAATCAAATAGAGCTCTTGCTACCAAAGATATTGATTATCGGCTGATGACATTTCCTGAGATTGCACAAGAGGCAGAGGTTGATGTTTCACGAGCAACAGCATATAGAATAATAAACCGACATTACCAACTATTTCATTATAAATACTGAACAAAACTGTCCCTTGATATGGCTTGTAAGTAAAAAGGCTTACAGTTGGTTGATTAGGGACTTACTCAACTGATTGAATTATTCGTCTTTAGTAACAAAATGATTTTTGAAGTGGAAGCTCCCCGAAGACTTCCAAATATTACATGATGTAAAAGAGAATATCCATATTCCTGTGCTGTACCTGAAAAAGTCAAATCAGGTCTCAGTATTATGGTATCGGGAAGTATCTCACTCGGGTTTAAAGATCCTATATGGATCTGGTTTAGGGAAAGTGAAGAGGAACAGAGAGAAAATAATGAGGAGCATGAACAGGAGAACGGGGAAAGGATAGAATGAAGAGAGTGGAGAAGAATTAATACAATGATTACTGGGACCAAAGAATTCAACTACCTCTAGGTATTAAATCGAAATATTGCTCAGTATAATGCTAATTGAGGACCAAATAAGCCACGTCACATGCCACGCCGTCCATATTGGGAGTTTGGGGAGTAAATACATAGAAGAAGTATAAGAGGAGGGTTAGATTAATTTCTTTATCGAAAGGAAATTCTTTATGCACACGTTTATCTATTTGTAACGTGTTTACAGGGTGCTAATCACGTTATCGGTAATAGATACGATAGTTGGCAGGTGGCCTGCTCTTCCAGAGAGGAGGCGAGAGCTGAGAACTAAAGGAGGCTTCGAGGGTGTACTGGGGAACAAAGAAGTAACCATTCAACCAAGTATATTGAAATACTGTCTGTCGAAGTCTGCCTTTTCTATCGTAGAAACAGGCGGTCTTTAAATACACAAATCTGTTCATGTCTAGCATGAACGAAACTAATCAAAGGTATCAATCGATACACTTTGGTGAAACTAATTAAGTATCAAAGCGATACTTAAAACAAAACATAAAACAAAACCAAGTATCAAATGATACTTAAAATAAACCAAGTATCAAAGTGATACTTAAAACAAAACATAAAACAAAACCAAGTATCAAACGATACTTAAAACAAACCAAGTATCAAAGCGATACTTAAAACAAACATAAAACAAAACCAATAACCGAGTACCCATACCGGTTACACTATTTGTCGAACACATTCAAGTAGAAACTAGGAGACACTGTTGGTTAGTTGAGGATAATGCTGGAAACCATACACTAGCAGTAAAGTTAGACTAAGCGGAAGCTGCAGCACGGGGTATTTATTGGATTTCAAGCTGGCTGTCAAACTCACCTGACCCGAATGAAATTGAACCATGTTGGAATTACTTAAAGGATAGGATGATGGTATATAGATTTACTGGAACAGGTGAACGGACAAAACAGGAGGTAATTGAGGCACTTAGATATAAGTGGAATAAGATGCCCCAGGAGTTGGTGGACCGGTTTTGTATAAACTTTTATCTAAACCTCTTACAAGTTCGTACCTGACATGGAGACAATAAGTTTAATGCTTAGATTTACTTACCACTTGTCCTATATATATACCAGCATCTGTAAAGTTCACCTTTAATTCCTCACATAGTTAGACCTCGATCCTAGTCGTCAGCTACTATACCCATTCAGTGAAAATGAACTTGCACCATTGACTAGGACAACTGTGGTGCCAACTCTTGGCTGAGACGCACGAGTAGGGGAGCTGGCAAATTAACACTACTCGAGTATTGAAGCTAATTATACTGTATTGAGCAATATTTCGGCGCCACTAAACCCAATAAGGTAAAATATTTACCGAAATTTGATAAATATAATTAGTCTAACCCAAGGTGGGAAGAGACTGACTGGCTATTAAGGCGCCCTGAATTACTGCGATCCAATTCTCAATTTTCAGTGTCCGGCACTGCCGGTTTGTACTAGTACTCGTTATTAGTCCCGGTATCTCCCGGTCCGCCAACCTACTCGAGTACAACAAAATCACGGTCCCCCAACCGTTGTGTCAATGGAAAAAAACCACATAGCACTTCACAACATAATACTCAAACCAAAAATGCTCCGCACGCCACCACCCCCGGCAGAGAACCTCATCTTAAGCTTCCCATCGCTCCATATCCTTGTGGTGACGATCAATCGCCCGCAGGCAATGAACTGCGTAGACACCCAAACCCACAACGAGATGTCACGGGTATGGCCCTGGTACGACGATGAACCATCACTCCGCTGCGCAGTGGTCACTGGAAATCCCCAAGGCAAGAGGAAAGCTTTCTGCGCAGGTCAGGACTTGAAAGGTCCATCTCACGCCCGCAACCTGTATATTGCGGGACATAGTTGACGAGAACAGAATGGAACGACGCTCAATCCGGCGGCGCTGACCCCATCGTCGCCCACCCGCAAGGCGGCTTTGGCGGCCTCTCCCGGCGCAGCGGGAAAAAGCCCGTGATAGCCGCTGTCGACGGGCTTGCACTCGGCGGGGGAATGGAGATGCTGGCCAACATGGATATGGTCGTTGCCTCAGCGAGCAGTATGCTGGGGCTTCCAGAGGTTAAGCGTGGGGTGGCGGCATTTGCCGGTGTGTTGCCGCGGTTGACGATGAGTGTGGGATTGCAGCGTGCGAGCGAGCTCGCCTTGACTGGGAGGATGTTGAGTGCAAGTGAGGCGAGGGGGTGGGGGTTGGTTAATAGGGTTGTTGGGGATGGGGAGGCGCTCGTGGTAGCTGTGGCGGTTGCGAAGGAGATTGCAGGGAACTCGCCAGACAGTGTTATTGTGAGTCGGGCAGGGGTGAGGAGTGCTTGGGAGGGGAGAAGCGTGGAGGAGGCGACGAGGGATGTTAGGGAAGGGGTGGGGATGGGGCTACAGACTGGGGAGAATATTAGGGAGGGGCTGAGGGCTTTCGTGGAGAAGAGGGAGCCGAAGTGGGCGGATTCTAAATTGTAGGTGTGTATCATAATAATATTATTATGATGCCTAGAACCGGGAGTTTGATTGGGCATAATGTCAATAATAATAATATTATTATGATACTTTGGGTATGTGATAGTTGCGCAGCATGGCGGACTATTTTGTGTCATACCAGTATGTTGTCATGGACGGGTTAGGTTGTTTTGCTCATAGAATATAACTTCTATCATATCGGATTTGTCTCTTCAACTCAACGGTGGATATTCGTCATACTAATCAAAAGGAAAAACGGGGGAATAGGGCTATCATTTGTGAACTAAGAGGAAGCAGCGTTCCTTCGTAGGAACAGCTGCTACTGAAGTGCCACTGCAGATAATTCCAAACTTTGCCGCTCCCTTTCCCAAGCCAGCCAATCGGAGCGCGTATTCCTGACCACGGACAAAACAGTTAGTAGCGAAATCTCCATGCAGAACAGGGGTTTTCGAGGGAAACATACGGTAATAGCCCCATCCCATTAACCTTCCATATACCAAGAGCAATCGTAGCAATTTGAAGTCCAATGTAAGCAAGCTTGACTGGCCAGAGTCTTGTGTGAGTCCTTTCGTTATCAAATCGAGCAAAGGTGCTGCCAACAGTAGAAAGTGCCTTGAGGGGATTCATGAACAGCATGACGGTCATCATGATGGAGAAGATTTGGAGTGTGTTGCCGGACATGTACATCATTATAGCGTTCATGGGGATAGATTTCGCGGGTGCCAGGGCGAGCTCCCATGCTTTCTTCAGGAATAGATCATCGGTTTCGGTGGGCGTAGGGGTCGGATGGGATTTGCTTGATTTCCCCTGGAAAAAGGGTAAGTAAGGCTCACTTACGGTCATACGGGGTACATAAAGCATACTTTGCCAGCGGAGCCCTGAGAGAAGCCGGGGGGATCGGGAATGGAGGGATTAGGCCTAGGGCGAGAGGACGGAAGGTTGTTCAGATCAATCACCCATTGGGGGGAAGGCGGGGGGGGAAGACGAGGTGGACCGTGAGGTGCCATAGTTATTGCCTAACGGTGGGTTATGCGGGAAGGAGTAGATTGTCGGTTGTATCGTGAACGGATGCTTGGATGGGGGAGTTTGTTCCGGGCGAGGAGTTGAGTTGTCTGAGTGAGATGGGACGATGAGTTGGGTTGAGGTCAAAAGCAAAGAAACGGTCTGCGGTTCGGCTACACCCGCTGACTAATTAACCCCTTCTTCCACCAGGATTGAAGGTGAAGCTCCCCAAACCTACTCTTCACGTTAAAAGACTATCTGTGTCTCTCACCCCCACATCTGCTCGATAATAGCCCCTTACTGATACTGCCCAGAATCCCCTACTTCATCATTTTCTTATAATGGCTAGTGGAGGTGATGCTCGTTTTTTTGCGCGAGTATGCTCTTCTGTCAGTTTACTCTGAACTGTACCTTCTAACATTCAGAATCTCAGGGCAAAGTCGCCGAGCTCCGCGCTGAACTCAATAGTGATAAGAAGGACAAGAATTTCGCCAAAAAAAAGATTACGCTTAAGAAGATTGTGGCCAATATGACTATGAGCAACAATGATATGGCAGCATTGTTTCCAGACATAATCAACTGCATGGAGATACAAGCCCTGGAGATCAAGAAGATGTTCGGGACACCCTCCTAGCTAGGACGTGCGAGCTTGAGGTTGAAGGGTTTGCGAGCAGAATTGCTGATATGGCAGTGTGAATCGCAGGTGTTTCCTCTTCTTGGTAAACTACGGTCGAATGAAGCCCGATATGGCTCAGCGCGCACTTCCAATTCTGATCAGAGTACCATCCCCGCAACTGTGGTCGCCGATTATCACTCCTTTTACCTCTCGACTGACCAATTTAGGATATGGATGATCATAATCCACTTGTGCGAGCTTTGGCGCTACGAACAATGTCCTACATCCATGTCCCTCAATTCGTCGAAGCTACAGTTGCTCCACTACGACATCTTCTCCATGACCCTGATCCCTACGTCCGAAAAACGGCGGCATTTTGTGTTGCGAAGCTTTACGACCACGATAGAGATCTGGTAGAGGGTAGTGGGGGTGGGAAGGAGCAAGGGTTAATTGAAGGGTTAAACGGGCTTTTGAAGGACGATAATCCCACAGTTGTTGCTAGTGCTTTGGTGGCATTGATGGATATTTGGGAAAGGAACGAGAATATAAGGCTCACCATCGATCATACGAATGCGAGTAAAATTGTTCAGATTCTACCAGATTGCTCAGAGTATGTAGCCCCGCGATGTTGAGTTTGGTAGCGTCGCTTGCCTTGGCTCCGTGTTCTTCATGTTGGTGAAAGCGCTGACTTTCCTAGATGGGGCCAAGCATATATTCTAGAAGCACTAATGGCCTACGTTCCTCAAGAAACTACCGAAGCAGTCATAATGGCTGAGCGTATATCACCTCGGCTGCAACACTCTAACTCCGCCGTAGTTCTTACCTGTATCCGTGTGATTCTCTACTTGATGAATTACATTGCAGATCAAAAGGAGATTTCAACTCTTTGCCGAAAGCTATCACCACCGCTTGTCACTTTATTGGCGAAAGGGCCCGAAGTACAATATCTCGCGCTGAGGAATGCTTTACTGATATTACAACGGCGGCCAGAAGTACTCAGAAATGATATCAGAGTATTTTTCTGCAAATACAACGATCCTATCTATGTAAAGGTCACTAAATTGGAGCTGATATTTATGTTGGCAAACGAGGACAACATTGAGGAGGTTCTAACAGAATTGCGAGAGTGAGTATCTCTCCCCTTGCTCTCTTCAGTCACTTTATTTTAGGGCGATGTTAATTTAGCGGCCAAAGATACGCCACTGAGATTGATGTTCATTTCGTCCGCAAATCAGTCAGAGCGATCGGAAAATTGGCCATTAAGATTGAACCAGCTGCTCGTCAATGCATCAACACTCTCCTCGAGCTTGTCTCAACAAAAGTCTCCTATATTGTGCAAGAAGCTACCGTAGTAATCCGGAATATCTTCCGCAAATATCCCAATCAATACGAATCCATAATTTCCACACTTTGTGAGAATCTCGATTCTCTGGACGAGCCGGAAGCCAAAGCGGCCATGATCTGGGTTATTGGCCAATACGCGGACAGGATTGAGAACAGTGATGTCCTTCTCGAAGACTTCCTCTTTTCCTTCCAGGACGAACCAGTAGAAGTGCAACTCGCGCTGCTGACAGCTACTGTGAAACTCTTCATCCAACGCCCAACAAAGGGACAAGATCTGGTACCAAAAGTTCTCAAATGGGCGACTGAAGAAACAGATAACCCCGATCTTCGTGACAGAGGTTACATGTACTGGCGACTGCTCTCGGCAGACCCTGCAACAGCCAAGAAGGTAGTGATGGGCGAGAAACCGCCCATCACAGCGGAGACTGAGAAACTGGACCCCACTACTCTTGAAGAAATGTGTTTGAACGTAGGAACTCTAGCAACAGTCTATCTCAAGCCCGTTAATCAGGTGTTCCGAACTGCCCGCCCAAAGAGATTGGCGGATAGCCCGGCTTTACAGAGGCACACGCTTCCAACGGCGATCGCTGAACAGGCGCATAGGAGAGCGCTCCAGCCTGAGCAGCAGCAGCAGCAGCCAGTGGAGCAGAGGACTTCAGAGGAGGGTATGGGAAATCTACTTGGCGGGGATCTCGCGGCAGCAGTTGATGCCGCAGATGATTATTTTTCCGGGGGCGGGGGGGGATCAGGGACAAACCCGTTTGCAGTCAGCGGAGGGCCCGTAGCTGGTGGTGGGCAATATGGTTCGTTTTCCCCTTTCCCCCTTTCCCCCTTGCTCGAATTATTGCTAACCTCCAATCCAGTCGTCAATCAAAACGCGCCCCAGCCTATATATTCTCCCCAACAGGGCGGGGATCTGCTCCTGTTGTAGGGTAAGGGGCGTTTAAGGATTCAGATACGTTGGCTTTCCTTTATGCGACATGAACGGGGTGGGTTGGGACCGCGAGAGCACATGAGAGCTTCTTTTATTTCTTATACCATTTTTTTGATTCCTTAAAATCTTGTATTTATACCTTTTATCTCTCAATTACGGCCCAATTACCTGCCCAGTGGTTTCAATCTCAGTATGTCGTGAGTTTGGCTTTTTGTTATCAAGTTAGAGGGTGATATGAAGCCGGGCATCTATCTAATATTAACATAAACATAAAGATCTGATCAGCTTGTCCGAAGGAACCGCCAATTCGTCCACCGAATACCGAATCAAATCAATCGAGATTAAGCCCAACCTCCTCATCTAGGATATCGCAAAACTTCCCACTGCCACCAGCAGGGAAATGTTTAAACTCAAAAGTCTCCGCCTTTTTAGCAGCCTCATGAAGATTTCTACTTGGAAATACCGCCATCAGCTAGCTCGCCCCAACATCTCTCCCAGCATAACCCCCCCTCTCAACCCTACAGGAAATAAATAAATGAAAAACTTACTCCACAGACCCCTCAACCAAATACCCCACGCTGCCAAGCTCCTCCGCTAACTCCTTCTGATGGTTATCCATGAGCGCACCATTGACCACGACAACCAGTCGCTTCTGAAACCTCAGCGCATCAAGAATACTCCCGCTGCCAGCATGCGAAATTACCAGGTCCGCATGCGTAACCTCGGTGCGGAAGTCGTCCGCGAAGCTGAAGCCGGTGAGCGTGATGCTGCCGCAGGAGGGGAAGGCGGCGGCGGAGAGGGTTTGGAAGAGCTTTTGGCAGTCGCCGTATTGGATGCGGAGGTCCGTGTAGCCGAGGGATCGGATGGTGGCCAGGAATGGGGCCGAGAGGGCTGCCGAGAGGAGTGAGGGGAAGGGGGAAGTGGCACCGGTTGTTACGAGGATGGTTTTGGTGGGGGTATCTGTCATTTCTGCTGCTGCGGTGGTGGTGAGTTGGGTTGAGGGATGGATGGATGGATGGATGGGTAAATTAGGAGGGTGGGTAGAGCTTGATTAGACTAATGACTAATTGATGAAGCACTTGAGTACCGTACTCGTAGAGCTGACGCTTTATTTTGTGGATAAATTTATTGTGATGCTACGGTCGGATTTGGCATGATGGCACTATTTTGTGTGAGGTGGCTGGGTGCGTAGTCACGTGGTGACAACTCTAGAAGAGCATCACTCGACTGATCACCGGATGGTACCCGAAAGTGCCTCAAAGCGGTATCGCGGTTTGGGGACACAAAGGGAGCTCAAGTCCTGTCCCCAAGACTAGATTCCAATGCCCTTCGCACAATACGACAAGACTTACACCCGCAAGAATTGTACACATACAATTCTCTGTGTAACTGTGCTCTACTCGGAAAATCGTGTAGCAGTAAATTTACAACGGTTAATTTCGACGTTTAAGATGGTTCAATTCCCCAACTGTTTACCTTACCATTTCATCCCATGGGTTCTAGCGTTCAAAATGCTTTTTCCCAAGAGTAGGCGCGGCGCTGGCACCGTAGACTATGCTTGCTCATGCTTGCTCACATTTTATCCCCCCCCCCTTTTTTCTTCTTCTTTGTTCAGTTACCATATTATTGGTTCATTCCTACTAAGATAAGGATATTTATTGCGGGTGGATGCCGGCACAGTACTGTACGAGTGCAAGCTTTTCCGCACACTACTTGAGTGCAGCGCCTGGAGGGGAGGATTGCTAGTAGAGTGCTTGATCGCGAATCTTACGACCTAGCTTAGCCCGTCCAAGAGGTGGTCACAGCATCGTATATCATACTCGAGTACAGTGGTTCGGGACGCCCCCCGCTCTGACAGTGGGCCCGCATCCCGGAATGACCGATCCAGGGCTTGGGTTCCAGGGAATGCCATGATTTAGTCTACTGTAACTTATCATGATATTATGATACTTTCTGCTCCACAGCGTAAACATCGCACAGACATCACAAAACAACCCATTCTTCTGTGATATAACAAGATGGTGGGGTGTACTTTTCTTTGTTGACATCTAGGAGTTCTTTTCGGTTTTTACAAGAATATTGATACCAGAAATACACAAAGATAAACTCTTCATTTTGGCAGCATCATACTTCTCTCTATAAACAAAAGGCTGCGCTTCTCTAGATTTCGAAAAGGAGAAGCATTTTTTAAATCCCTTGAAATGGGGGCCTTTAAGATGCTATATATTGTGTAATCGATTGCATGAAACGGTACACTCTCATGCGTATTACTTGTGGACATGTCCGGGATAGGCAAACTTGAAGTCGGGTTATGCATCAACAATGCACCTTACATCTTTTGTCCCATGCCCAGTGCTTGAACGAGATAAGTTGACTGTTAGTGGGATTGGAATATGGCGATAGTTTCACAACTAATAGTAATCCTTTATTTGGAAATCTGTCTACGTCCGTGGCGCCTAACCTGCGAACCGGGATCAAGTTGGTTAAATCGTTGAATATTTCGCTACCAATATGGAGAGACAAGTAAGTACTAGATAGTATCATAAATTATGAGCTCCCTTATTGAATATGATAGTTCATAACTTCTTCATTCTTCTGAAAATCAACAGCAGGGTGGACCAGACCTCTTATATATCACCTTTTAAGAATTTTCTATCGAGGTTAGTTGTGGATAAAGGGGGTATTTTTCCCGGGGGGGGATATCTATCGGATCGGAATTGTCGAGAAGGCCACAAACTGTTTGAAGGCTTAACTCCAAGTTACCTGTGTACGTAAGAACGCTGAGAGAACTGTTAACATTACTGTAATGTACGAGAACAACTGTTCCGCCCGGCATTGGAACTATCGAGCATGGAAACAACTAGATTCATGCTGTGTAATTCTGTAGAAACTGAAACTAGAGAACGTCTTCCCCTTCTGCTATCGGTAGTTCCTCAATTTCACTGTCATTTTACTCAGATTTCCTAATCGCAAACCGCCCTCAAAATACCTTTCACTTTATTTCCCTAGTACTTTAGACGGAGTATCATACCATCCCAGGCAGCGAGCCATTTGGGAAATAATCTGTAGACCTTTCTGCTTGTAGTCGTGGATCCGATTTGAATATTTGAATAACAGGTTCCCCGGGAAGACTAGCAAGACCCACTAACAAAACGTAGCTCGTTGGGCTCATAACCACTAATATACAGTAAACTTCATGCAATCCTTGAATACCTTCCACGAAGCAATCGGGGCGGTGTCTCCCGGGGGTAATTTTGTTACATTCAGTATAAGTTAACCTTGGCTTCATCACTCCTAGTATCCTGCTGGGGGCTCTCGGCTTCCATATCCCCATTTATCCCTAATACCACCACCAACAGCATTAGCAAGGGTTTATTCTCAAAGTCAGAGGGGTCATGCTATCTGCTAGGCTGCAACCTTCGCACATGACTGACCCAGACTCCGCCTTCAGGTTCACTTGCCTTTATGCCGCTCCGGCGTTCTCACTCTGGAATCCATTATTTTTATCCCTGAGAACTAGTGGTATCCCTACTTTCTCCGATCCCCCCGCTCTCTTCCTTCACTTCACTCCCTTCACTTTCCTCGCTTCCCCCACTCTCCCCCTTTTCACACTCTTCTGAAATCTTTTCCATGAACGCCTCGATGAGTGCACACGCCAAATTTAGAATCTCAAAGCATTTAAGCTTGGCTCGACTCCGGTTTACCTCCCTATTTTCGAGCTGTTTTAGACCGAGCTTGATCAAACTGTACCGCAGTTCATCTCTTTTCGCGAATCTCCCGGAAAAGTGGGATACTCTATGGCACAACGCGAGAAGTTCCTCGACACATTTCCACAGAAATCGTATCCTTTCACTTATGTGAAGTGTCTGGTCTTTTAGAGGCCCCATCCACTCCCATGGATTCCCAAGTGTCAGCTCTAAAACAACGTCGGTGGGCAGTCTGGGCACGCCATCTTCCTGACTCCCATCGGGTGGAGTGCTATCCCAGGAGATGACTCCTGCCTCGCTTGCGAGTGCTCGAATTCTGTCGACTGCTTTTTGGGGGTCCTCGAAGCTGGCCATGTTATCGAGGGCATTATCGGCATCAAGGAAATCTTCAAGGGCTTTGACAATGGCGCTCCTTTCGACCCCTGTGTCGTTTGATATCGTTTCTATCGAAGTCTGGAATCAGGATTGGTAAGTGGCTCAAGGCTAGAGTCTGAAATAATTGCACTATACTTCCCGCGTGGGGCCGGTGGGCCCAGAGAGCCTATCGTTTTTGTTAGCATGCAGCACCGAAAATCTTGGGTAGAGACCTACATGTAGTTTAGAACGAGTGAGGACTCCAAGAGATTCGATACTTGCTGATCTTCCTCATCGTCATTGCTGCCACCACCGCCGTCACCATTTCCACCACCGCCAACATTTTTCTCAACCTTAGTTTCTACACCCTGGTTTGGGCCCAGCGTCATATCTAATAACCTTTGGAGAGCATCCTGCACTCCCGGCTCACTTGTTTCCGGCTCCGGTGCTCCGGGCATTTGTTCTGGATCCTGTGGCCGGGGCTCTGTGCTCTCGGGGGGATCTTCTTTGAAGGATTTAGGGGGCATTTCTGCTTAGAGTATACTGGAGAGTGTGGTATTTATTGAGTGATAGGGGTAAAATACAGGGAGAAGGAAGTGGGAGGCCAACTCAGAATCTAAATCCAAGGCTCGCACGATCCTCTTTTAGACTCTAGTGTAATTACGGACTCAATTACGTTGAATACTCGAACCTTCTGAGGTGTTTCCTCCTAACTAGTGGGTTACGACTACTTTTGGCGGTGCGTGGGTAACGTTGCTGGGGGGGGTTTCTACCGAGTGATAAAGCGTGATCGCGAGTTCCTTGAACTCGAAATTTGAGGAAATACGATAAGTTTACCAGTGGTTTGGCAGCCAATACCCAACCTCACGGGCCGATTCAGATTCAGTTTTGAATTAGAGTCCGTATAGAACCAAGGGTTTGCAGCTGCCGTTCCAAATCAATAGTGGCAAACTAATTAGGCTCAGTTTGGCATGCAGTCATTTGAGACGACAGTCGTCTCAAAACAAGTTTTGCAAACAACACTCCGCCAAACACTCTGTAAGATTCTTGTCTTATATTTTCTCTTTTATTCCGCTGCCTATGATAGGTGTGTGGTCTGGAACCGAATTCTGCCACCTCGTTATATGATAGCAGGAACTGTTCGGTTCTATAACCTTATCGGGGAAGCCTAGGGCCCTGTTTGGCAACACGACATTTGAGTGGTGTGCATTGCCAAACACATCAGGTAATCGTGAAAGTTGAGGTTAAAGAAGGAGAAAATTAATAATCAAGACAAGAAGTTAAATCCCAATTAAGCAACATCGATTAAGTAAAGCTGGTGTTAAAAAGTAGGGTTTATTAACTGAATATTGCCCTCCCTGCAAAAAGGTTGTTCCCAAACTGCAGTTTTGAAATTGTAGAAACCTGTTTGGAAACGGATGCAGCTAAGCACACCAACCCATTCAAACAACGATTTGGTTGAGAAAACCACTGAAAATGCGGCTTGAGTGAGAAAACTATCATATCATACTCGAACTTCGTGTTGCTAAATAGGGCTTAGGTCTTCAACCTCTCTGTCCCCAGAGGGCAGAATTTCTTAATTCTCCTGCCCTGATCCATGGATAGTCAATAATAACCCAAGATGATTCGGGGGGTATCATACTGGTTTGTGACTAGATGGCGGTAGTAGGGTTAATGTACCTCTCCCTGATTTCCTATTTGTCTTCATCGAGAGATTATCTATATCTTGCTTGTACGTACGGAATGGTGCCTTGTCAAGTGGCACTACACTGAAGGAAGCCACAATGTAATATTACCTCAGTAACAGGGGTTTCAAAATGCTCAATCCCAAATATTTTAGCCCGTCATACCTAGAGGGGTGGTTGGGCTTCATTACTAATAGGTGTGTTACTGAAGAACTATGATACGGTATCATAATATAACACAATAATAATATTATGGTATTTGGGGCCCATGATACCGGTATTCTCATTCAGTGAGGTGTGTTTGGCTCTCAAGTCGAGCGGCATGAGTTATGATAGGTTCCCTTGTCAGCGAGTGGATAGGGTTTTCAGGTATGCCGCCTCCCGCACTATGCATCCTGTTTGAGGCTCTAACTGTGAGCTTTTAAGTGAGATTTTGTGAAGAATGGGCGTGGTTTCGATAATTTGTTATAAAGGTTGAAATCGATCATGAAAAAAGCAATATTCTTAAATCACGTGCACAGTCCGCCCGCTTACCACTTAACGCGTCTCCCCGAGCCATGATAATCACAACCCCCTACCCACCCGAACTATGAGGACAATGGACCCCGAGATAAAGCGAAAACGCACCCCAAAGACCAAACTAAGTGCAGCCAAGAAGCCTCGAAAAGGGCCTACCGAAGAAATCACCCCAGCTTCAATCCCAATTCAATGGCCACCACACTTCAAGAACCTCCAAAAACTTCACGAAGCCTTAAACCTCACATACACCTTTTGTGCGCAACGTAAACATGTCGCGACGACCTTTGATATGCTAAAATCTGCCGTCGAGGGTCAGACAAAGATGGAATTGACCGTCGAGGACGTTGCACAAATGAAGTTTCTTGCGCCGAAGTGTTTGCGGTTTTCGTATGTCGATGAGGAGTTGTTGCAATTGCACGTTATGGGACAGGCGAAAGACATATACGAAGACGGGAAGGAGACACTGGGGATGGTCTTATTCCTGGAGTTCCTGGATGGGGAAATCAATCAGAGGAGCGGGAAGACACCGGCAGTTTCTCAGAAGGCAGTTTTGGCACTTATAAAGAGACGGAATGAGAGGTTTGTTGCAGCAGTGAACAAATTTTTAAAGGGCTGTGCGGAGAAGGAGGTTGATGCTGTTGGGCTCCTCATGGATGGATGTCACGAGCATGTTCCTAGATTGCCGGGGCATCCGCAGCCAAGCTCCCAGGAATCACTGCCCACGAGGGGTAATTCCGATATTCCCAAGGAACGCAAGCCAATTGCGGAAATCATCGAGGAAATTAAAGGCTTGGACCTTTATCGTGAACAGATCGTACCGAACGGGCACAGGGTGATACCTCCACAGGAGGCTGCGTTTGGGGATCTCAAATTTCTACTTTCGCAGGCACTTGTTAACGCGTTGTATACTGCACACAACGTTACTCGATTATACGCTCATCAAGTGGAAGCAATTAATAATTTATGTGATGGACATAGTGTTATCGTTTCTACGTCTACTTCTTCCGGGAAGTCGTTAATTTACCAGATTCCAATCCTGCATATGATGGAACAGAGTGCCCGCGCAAGGACTATGGCGATTTTCCCGACTAAGGCGTTGGCGCAAGATCAGAAGAGGAGTCTTGTGGAAGTGTTGGGATACATGACGGATGTTCTCGGCGAAGTAGTAGTTGATACCTATGATGGAGACACAGAGCTGGAAGACAGAGACAGGGTGCGACAAGAAGCCCGGGTAATATTTACTAACCCGGATATGCTACATTGCAGTATATTGCCGAATAAGGATAGATGGAAGGAGTTTCTCCAGAACTTGAAATACGTAATTGTTGACGGTGTGTCTCCACTACAGTGTGTGAAGTGAGTCCCAAAGACTGATCTATTGGTAGAGTTGCATGTTTATAGCGGATCTTTTGGATCCCACACTGCATTTATCATGCGAAGGCTCCGGCGGGTATGTGCCTCGTTTGGTAATACCAAGGTACAATTCGTATCTTGCTCAGCAACTGTTGCCAATCCCGAAGCTGTAAATGCTCCTATATCTTGGTCGCACTAAATAATAGCTAATTCAATTAGCACATGCGGACTATCTTTGGAGTCGGTTCTGTTAAGTTAACTGACGTGGATGGATCTCCCGCCGGTAGGAAAGAGTTCCTTTGCTGGAATTCACCATACAAAGACCCCGAAAATCTATCGCTCGGGCGTGTGGATCCAGTCATGGAGACCGCCAGGTTATTTACGCAGTTGATATTACGTGGTATTAGGGCAATTGCCTTTTGTAGGGCGAGGAACGCTTGCGAGCTGCTGGTGAAGGAGGTCAGGAGTGAGTTCGCAAGACTGGGGCGTCCGGAGGTTGCGCCCAGAGTTATGGCTTATAGAGGAGGATACACCCCGCAAGATAGAAGGCGGATAGAGAAGGAAATGTTTGAAGGGCATTTGCTAGGCATCGTGGCAACAAGTGCATTGGAGCTGGGAGTGGACATCGGCAGCTTAGGTATTTCTATCTACTGATAGCAGCCTTTTGTCCGGGCTAACGTGCATGGGAGATGCCGTTATTATGGTCGGATTCCCACACTCAATATCCAGCCTACGCCAGCAAAGTGGGCGGGCCGGGAGAAGAAACAAAGATTCACTCTCAATTCTAGTAGCAGGTTCAACCCCCCGGGACCAATTCCACATGGACAACCCCGACGAGATATTCACCAAACCAAATGCCGAGCTTCAGGTCGACTTGGAGAACCCCGTAATCCGTGAAGGCCATCTTCAGTGTGCTGCCTACGAAGTTCCCATAAACCTGCTGGAAGACCACCAATACTTTGGGCCTAACCTCGAAGGTTTCGCCGAATCCAAACTAGCCCAGAAAAACGCTGGATCGTACCACCCTCACGAAAGCTACCTTCCCTATCCATCCAAACACGTCTCCATCCGAGAAGGTCCTGACCTAGAAACACACATATCCGTAATAAATACTACAAACCACACCAACCAAATCATCGAAACCCTAGACCCAGATCACGCGGCATTCACCCTCTACGAAGGCGGTATATTTCTCTCTCAGGGGAAAACATACATCGTCAAGAACGTCAATCTGAGTAGCAGGTACGCAGCTGTGGAAAGCCTAACAGTAGACTGGACCACAACACCGCAGGACTACACCGACATAGACCCCATCGAAACCGCCGTCGTGCACATAATTCCGGAGTCCCTGTCGAAGGCGTTTTACGGCACCATCCGCATTCACACCGTTATCTATGGATTTCTCAAAATTGATAGAGCGAAGCGGGTCCTCGACGCCGTGGAAATTGACTCCCCACCCATTACCAAATTGGCGAAGGGGATGTGGCTGGATGTGCCGGTGTCCGCACTAGACATCTTAACGCTTAAAAATATAGATGCTGCAGCGGCGGTGCACGCAGCTGAACATGCAGTCTTGAATCTCTTTGGGAATTTCGTTACGAGCGTGTCGGGGGCTGTCAAGACGGAATGTAAGAGTGCTGTTAAGAGTGAAGAGCCTGAGGGAAAAGGAAAGGGGAAACCCACATTGAAGAAGAAGCGTAGAACACGTCCGGCTAGGTTGATTTTTTATGACGCGGGGGCGACGGGAATGTATACCTTCCGGGCGTTCGAGTCCGTCCATGTTTTGCTCAAGCAGGCGGTTGAGAGGATGGAAAGGTGTGCATGTTTAGATGGATGTTTTGAATGTATTGCACCTGAACGTTATTATTCAAGGCTTGGATTGCTGATAGAATATTGTATAGGCATTAGGAGCGAACACTGTCAAGAAAGAAACGCACTTATTTCTAAACCTGGCGCGCACGTTATCCTTCGGAAGATACTGGGGTTGGAAGTGGATCTTGAAAAGGTTCCGGATGGATCTGTAGATGGGAAAGGTGCTGTCTCGAGGAACAAGGTGATTCTTGCTGTGGAGATTGAGACGGGCGAGGCTTCGAGGTGAAATTGTATGGTAATATTTAGGCTGGAGTTGAGTGGCTTGTTTGTACTTTGTTCAGACATAGACCAGATTATCGCCATGAATGGTTGGAAAGCAACTGACATTGGGTGGCGTGGTATAGATAGATGGTGGCGAACAGATATTATTACTAGCATCTTTTAATCTAGACGGTTAACTAATATCGTTGTTATTGGAACATAGAATCTCGCTGTACCCACTTTAATCAAGCCCATCGCGGCCAATTCCCTACTACCCCAAGTCACACAAAATCCACTCGATCCAAATATCATGCGATACGAAGCCCCCCATGTATCCACAACACATTATTCCCCCTAATGACTACCCCCCCTCCCGTTCCACGACGAACCACGAATACATTCCCATCCGGAGATCACAGAAAGAAAGAATAGGGGGAGAAAAAAAAAGCCGAAAACAAAATCATTGACCCCGTCATACTCAAAACATACTCGTTCAATACAATAAATGACCCGACCCTTTTACATAAAAGCACTTGGCAGCCAGCCAACGCCCAAAAGCGAAGTTCCGCGGGGGGGGAAGACCGCCGTATTACTATACGTAGTCACCTACCGGTACGATACTATCGTAGAGGGAGGGAGAATGTGAGAATATTTTTCGAGTGTCTTTTGAGTTGCTGCGGCATATGCATAGCGGGTATGATAGCTGGGTTAGGGCTTTTCATCATCAAGGGGTGGGGAAACCTTCGCCTTGAGCGCAACTTGATCATTCTGTTTTGGTCAACCAGACAACACGGGGTCAGAATGATGTTTCAGCGTGGCAACCAGATGCGCCCTAAATCAAGAGTGGAAGTCTTTCACGAGTGTTGCCAAAGTGATTACCCATTAGATAATACCCTCAGGGTAGAAAATGTACAGTACCAGTATGGGAGCTAGAATGCTGTACAGTACTCGATAGGAATCACCGGCCGAATTGCGGGATGGTATTGACAGAGATGATATTGCGGCAGATCTAGCCTAATACTACACCGGGGGGGCATAAAGGAGGCTGAGAGAGCAAGCTAAAAAAGCCTATCTAGAAAGCCAGATATAAACTCTAGTTTACATTTATTCTTCCTTCTCCCCGCTAATTTTTCGAGTATATACGGGGCCAATCTTTGGTGTATACCCCTCGATAGCTCGAGCCCTGTCGCCATTCTCATCTGTCAGGATTAACTCTGGGAGTTCGGCCATGCCTCCTTCACTCTCCCTCTCTTTGATATCAACGGACAAGGAATCGCTTTGCTTCATCCCTCGAGTTTCCTTGTCAAGACTGATCCCAACCTCCATCAACTCCTCCGCAAGCTTTTCAATATCTGCTTCCTTGGTGTTGTTCCATTTTTCCTGCCGTCTTTGCTCTTCTGCTTCCTCCAATAAGAGGATTGCAGCCCCAAGCCCGCCACGCCACTTCTCGCCGGTGAGATCCAACCCCGAAACAACGCCTTTCTCATCGACTTGAACATCGCTAATTATTTCTGCTCTGGTCCATGCAGGCTCGGTGTTCAGTTGAACCCTCAACCACAACCCCTGTCGAGCGCAAATATCGCTGCAAAACTGCTCGAGCTTCTCTTTTTCCACAAACCTCATGGTTTTCTTCCCTTTGTCTACGAGGGCATAGGTAGACTTCCCTCCGCCAGCTAACCTCTTACGGGGTTTAGGACATAGTGGGTTCGAGCATTTATCACAGATCCCCCTTTCCTCCATTAAGGAATCGAAGTCGGAGGGCTGGAAGTAACGGAGGTGGCATTTTAGATCGGTAGAAGTGCTGTCCGGAAGTGGAAAGTCTACTAATTGCTCTAAGGAGGCTAAAATTGAGAGCTCGAGGACTTTACGGATCTGGATCGAGTGGGCGTGAGAGAGTGCAATTGCCTGAGCTTCCTCTGGGGTCGGGAGGGACTTCGATTGGGATGTTGGTGGACCCGCGCTAACAATTGTGCTGCCAACGACGGCTGTGGCAGAGGAAGAAGGTTCTCGGGTTTTCTTGAGAATGGATTTTGGCTGTTTGGCAGTCATGATCCGAGTACCAAAATTCAGGGGCGGTAGAGAAGGGTGAAAGGGTGGTAGGTGGTGAGCGGGAAGATGATGTGTTGAGGTTTTATTCGCTTCGTTCAGAGGATGACGAGGTCAGTTGTCACGGAAGTTGGGCATTTTGTCGCAAAGGTGCATCAAATCATGTGCCCGGCCGATAACGGTACGAATTGATAAGCGATATCAGATCTAGCAGACCCTTTTTAGGTTTAATCCTCACAATAATTGGCCAATCAGCGTCCTCGAACTGGGACAATTGCCGCGGATTCTCGCCGAGACCCGCCACTAGATACTACCTGCGCCGCTTTAAGCCACTCTGCGAGATCCTTGATGTGGGTAAGGTCGGTTTCCCCTCCACACGGACGGATCGGATTTCCCCTCGCTGCTCCATCCGTCAACTCTTTCTGTTAGCAAGAACCTCCATTATTGCTGCTAATTCCTTACCTCACTTCCAAAAACACATTCACTCCTTGTAACCTCCCTTAACAACCAACCATTTTCCATCATTGTTACTCTTCGGTCTTATTTTGCTCCCTTCTTCTTAACTCCTGCTACAGGTGAGAACTCCTTCAGGTAGCTTTTGGTGGGGTGTTGGTGATGTGATCACTTCCGTGATGCGCTGACGTGCGTTGGCCGGGTCGCCTCCTACAGGTAGAAAGCCACCGAAAACACTGAATCGCCACCAACAAACTTAACATCTTTGTCCAGAATTTTCCTTTTTTTCCTCCCATCTACGCCCTTATCTTTCACTACCTGGCGTCCGTCTGGGCGGTGACTGGCTCCTTGTCATGGCTAATACTTCCGTCCCACCGTTCAAGGTCAAGGCCTTGTTTGACTACAACTCTCCACACGACGATGACCTCAACTTCCCGGCTGATGAAGTTATCACTGTTACCGAGGAGGAAGATGCTGATTGGTATTACGGGGAGTATCATGATAAGGCTACAGGAGAGTTGAGGCAGGGAATATTCCCGAGGAATTTCGTTGAGAGGATCTTGGTTGAGCTTCCTCCTAGGCCAACTCGAAGTGGGGGTGGTAGGAAAAAAGTAACGGAGGAACATCAACCGGAACCCCCGGCCGAGTATCAGGACGATGCCCCTCGCGTAAAGTCCCCCCCTCCTCCAGTCCCTGTCGCCGAACCTTCGCCCCCCGCTGTACAGAGCTACCTAGTGTCATCAATTGCGGCCCCGAAAGCTTCTGAAACTCAAACTGCCATTCGTCAAGAAAAGCTGGAGGCAGCTCAACCTGCTTCCTCGCCACCCGTAGCGAAGGCGGCGCCCGCATTCAAGGCTCCCCCAAAGCAAACTCCAGCACCATCTGCTGAGAAATCAGCTCCGTCATCGTCTAAACCCCCACCTCTGGAGAAACCATCTTCGTTTAAGGACCGCCTTGCATTGTTTAATAAGGGTTCTGCAGCTCCTCCTGTGCCCTTTAACCCTCACAAGCCACCCGTCAATTTTATCAAGAAACCTTTTGTTCCGCCTCCCCCGAGCAAACACGCATATGTCCCTCCGCCAATCCAGAACATACCAAAACCCAGGAGAGATGAGGACTCTAATTACAGCCGCCCAGATCAAGGGGAAGCGCCTGCGAGGGGTTCTACGGAGCAAGAGAGGGAGAGGGAAGACGAAGGGCCCAAAATGACGCTAAAAGATAGGATGGCATTATTACAAAACCAGCAGCTAGACCCTACTGGGCTTGGATGGAAAAACAAGAGACCCTCGAAGCCGAAAAGAAATGAGAGCGAAAGAACCCTGGAAGATGATCAGTCTTGTGCTGCCCCTGAGGACAGTTCCCACGAACACAGGTCTCACGATTCCACCAGGCCCCAGACTACTGAAGGGGAAGGATTGGAGGCGGCACCGAAACAGAAGAGGAGTGTCGATATCTCCCGCGAAGACACAGTTGTGGAGGAATCGAGTGCGGGTGATGCAGATATTTCTTCTGCTTCGGGGTATACTGGTGAAGAAACCATTACTAGCAGAAGCCGACTCCCGACCACTTCTCATAGGGAAGATAAATCGGATGATGGGGACGACGAGGGCGCGAACGATGACACCCCAGATAACCCGGATTCGGACGATGAGGAGATCGATCCTGAGGTAGCGAGAAAGCTGGCTATCAGGGAGAGAATAGCCAAGATGAGTGGCGGGATGGGTATGCATGGCATGTTCGGCGGCATGCCCATGGGAGGGCCTCCTCCGCCGCCGCCAAAGAAAAAGAAGAGCTCTTCGACATCTATGCCTCCCAAAGAGGAAGATGAGAGTCTTAGGAGGTCTTCAAATGACGGTGATGAGAGTGAAAACAAAGGTTCGAGCGATTACACACAATCGCCACCAGTCGCCTTGCCATTTGCCTTGCCCAGAGTTCAATCCCCACCCGCCGCTGAGCAAAAATCCGATAGCGAAGCTGAAGCGCCCGCCAGATATATAGGTGGAACAAGCAAAAGGGTTTTCGAAGAGCAATCGCCGGATGAGGTTGTAGATGTGGAAGATATCAAGTCACAGCAAAGCCAGCAGACGACCCCTCCACATCCTCAGGGGCCGAGGCCTATGCCAGGATCACCCATACTTGAGAAGAGACATTCGCAGATCTCACCACCTTCAATACCTCAGGGTGGGCACCCCCTCTTCGTATTATATGAATTGGCCTGCTAATCAAGTAGCATCAGACCGCCCTGCACCACCCCCTGTTCCAAATGAGAGGTCTGCACCTCCTCCGCCTCCTAGCGAACGTGAGTTTATATCATAATTACTTTCCCCTTTTTTTCTAAGTTAATTAACCTTATTTAGCGCCTACTACGCAAATTCCGCCACTAGCAGCTCGAACACCCTCCGATGGATCTGTTTCTGATGACGAACTCTCCGTTCATGCGGGTAAACTCACTATTTCTACTTCTGAACTTGGTGAGCTTCGGGCGGCCCCTCCCCCACCGCCCTCTGGACCCCCCAGTATTCCCAGCGGACGCCCAGGCTCTAGCTACGATGCTTTATCACCCACGTCACCCACGAGCAAACGTGTTTCTCAAGGCTACTCCAATACTCAGTCCTCACCTACCGCCTCACCGGTTACACCTGGAGGCCAGAACAAGCGAGCTAGCTATCAGAGGGCAGCAGGTACAATGCCTCCAGTCCCCATGGTCTCTCCCTCTATGAGCCGCCCTCCCCCCCCACCTCCTCCTACCGCCCCCCCTCCCAGAGCCAGTATGGACGAATCCCGGCCGGATGTTGCAGGAAGCCAAAGGCAATCCGATACTGAGGAAGAAGTGACCGAGTATGAGGCAGATTATGATACGGATATTGGAAATAAGGTAGCGCATAGAGATGCTTTAAAGGGCAAGGAGGTCGGAAGGCGAGACGGTCATGACGACGACGAGGGAACACCATTGCCCTCACCTATTATCGCCCCCCAGGCACCCCCTAGGAACGTACCACTACCACCACCTCCGGCCCCACCATCCAATCCCCCACCATCTAGGAAAGGGCGGCAGTCAATGGATATGCCACGGGCTGCACCACCCCCACCACCACCTGCTCCACCATCTCAAGAGCCAGAGAGATATGAGGGCCCTGGCGACTACGATCCTTACAGTTACGAATCTCCCCGTCTTGCCTCTCCGCCTCCCCCACCTACATCCGGGCTTCCTCCACCACCGCCGCACCAGGCACCTCCCTCTCAGCGAGACCAACCCCGAGGCAGCGCCGGTAGACAATCCATGGATTCCTCTAGACCCGTAGCCGGCAGGCGCTCAATGGAGCAAGGCCGACCGGTTGCGGAGTTTGTTGCTCGAGATGTTGATTTAGGAGAACGGTCTCAGTGGTGGATGACCCCCAACACTCCTCCTCCTATCTTCCAGAATCGCTTTAAGGAACTCTATTTTGAAGTCGAAGAATCCACCTCAACTAGGCGTGGCGGAAGAACAACAGTGACCAAGGATGTTTATGTTCTTTTCCACGATTATTCCCAGACAGTTGTGACTGCACGCTATGATCGCGATGACTCCGCCAATACGTCCCTTGAGCAGCGACATGAGCCGCCTCCGCCAAACCCTCGACAGGATCAACTCGAAGAGTTTCAGACTAAATACGGGGCCAATATCTATAATGGAGCTAAATCCCGCGAGAATACTGTCGTGGGAGACGGAGAGCCTCATACATTAATTTACGAACTATTCAAACTTGTTCCTAATGCATTAAGCCCTGCCGGTCACCGCTCATATGGCGCCCTTGTATATGCCAACCTTGCCAATGCCAATACTATACTGAATGATGAGATCAGAGCCGGAGATATCCTATCGTTTCGAAACGCCAGATTCCAAGGACACAAAGGAGGCCTGCATCAAAAGTACTCAATGGATGTTGGAAAGCCGGACCACGTCGCAATAGTTGTGGACTGGGATGGAACAAAAAAGAAGGTCAGGGCCTATGATCAGGGTAGAGAGAGCAGAAAAGTCAAAATCGACAGTTTCAAGATAGGTGACCTGCGCAGCGGGGAAGTGAAAGTGTGGAGGGTTGTTGGACGAGATTGGGTTGGATGGGGTCGAGGGGAGTAGTGACAATGTAGCATTAGTTAGATGATTGCAACCCGCAAGGTGTCTTTCTTTGAATGTGATTGGGGAATTTTGTTCTTTTCTTCCTTTTCTTGTCAGTTTCTTGGAATCGGACTTTCCGCCTGGTTTTCGTTCTCTTTTTTGATGCTGATAATGGGAGTGACGAAGCGGGTGGGGTGGAAGGGCTCGACTGTGCTGAATTGAAATTCCGATATCATTCGTTATCTTGCGTCTTTCTTTCCTCTGATTATATGATACAATGTCCTAGCTATTCGTGCGGAATTAAAGGATTGGGGACGTTTCTTTTTTACTTCGGCGGTGCCGTCTGTGGTATGATACAACTTTATGTCTACGACCCGAGAGGGGAGTGGAGGCACGAGACTGGAGCAAAACTCCTCCCGATGATTGTCCGGAACCCCAGGACAAGAGTTAGTCTGGGGTAGCAACACCCTACCTGTAGGCATGACACCATCCATGAATACCATATTGCGATATGTCAAGGATATGGTTTGGTGAAGGGATCCCGGGGGGCATATTCCCTTTTCACCCCCAACTTGCAAGTCCATTTTGGCGTAAATTGACCAGTGGTTTCCCCCTTCGTTGTTCTCAGAGGTTCCCATCTGGTTGCTTTCGGAGGCTCCCATCTGAAGTCGAATGATTGGCTCCTTCGTTCTAACAAGGTACGGCACTCGAGCAGGGTCTTGGATGGGCAACCGTCACTTTTGGTTTAGCCCAACTAGTACTCGAGTAGGCAAATTGTGCCAAACTGTGCGGTCAGCAGACTATGCCAGCAAGCACCGTGGGCCATGGTACCAGTTGGTGGTCGGGAACCGGGAAGTCTACTCGTACCGTGAACCAAGCTTGCCCCATCAAAGATCCTAGTAGTTGGTATGGCACGATCCAGTTGGAGACTACGGGTAGCTGGGATAGACCCGAGTCAACTCGGCCTGTCTAATTAATACGGTAGGCTCGAACAGCTCGCGTCTTCGAGGTGAAGTCTTGATCTGGCTCAATCTTTTACTGTGTCACGTATAATCACTCACGCAAGTTACCTCGGCAAGTAACCGGTAGCAACATCTAACGTTTCCGTCATGTGCATCACACACCCACCAGACGGATAGAAACAGGCGTATACGTATAGTAAGATTTTCCTATTTCCCCCGTATCCACTGAAATTCCCGAAGCTCCCCGCCGGTTTCTACAAAAGTACGATATCATAACTCTCCAGTTCCCCCCATCCATCCATCTTCCTCTTAATTAAAATAATCTGCCCCCTGGGAACGTTTGTGAGTTTTTTGCCGATTCACCAACATCATACCAGTGACATGGAGTGGGGCTATCTCTTGTGCGAAAGAGGTGGTATTTAAGGGCGGAGGGTGAAGAGTTTCCCAGACTTTTACATTCCTAACTACCGTATGATAATAATAATTATGATAACAATACTACCGGTAATACTACTGTATCTCTCTATGATACCCCTCGCAGGTGACCTCCATTCACCCTTGCGACCCCCCGAAACCTAACCCTGCTCTCCATCCCGGCCACCCTGCCAGTAACTTTTTTTTCTATGGGAAAGTCGCTCTCCCAGATCTAATGCTAGTTACCACCCGTGAAAGATGGCATTATGATGATAGGAGCTTGCAATTTCTCAGAGTTTTCGCCCCTCCTCAAGGATGGCTACAACCCTCTCCTTAAAGGCAGCAATCAGCCTCGAATCCCCTTTATCATCCATATCGACAGCCAGGGAACTCTCCAAACAGAGCAGGACAGCATACCGATACTTCTGCCCCATAAAGTGCCCCAACCTCTCTCTTGCATTTTTTACTAGTGTCTGTTGAATGATACTTGGCGTGGTCTTCGCCGTCGGGTCAATAAGTTTGAGCGTGAGCTGCCAAAGACCGAGCTCTAGGAGCAAGACTCCGAAGGCATATATGTCGTGGATCTTTCCGAACGCCTCTGTGGGCAAACCTTGGCGGGCTGGATGGCGGTATAGATCCCAATGGACATTCGAAACCTCCCCACCGGGACGTGCATATTCGAAGCCGCAGAGATAAGGCGAATCGAAGTCTAATCCTTGATGTTCTTGGCGAAAAAAACAATATATTCTTGGAGTTGATGCTTTTATGAACCCAACCTACGAGGAACCATTCTATCAACGTGTAGCCGATGTCGTGTGCTATGGCGAACCGTTGGCCCAAAGTCGGTCGCGACCGTCCCGTCAAGGAACCGATGGCGGTATGGAGGCTCATCGGCTCCGGCTTACGGTCCTGGGGAAGCGCAAATGCTAGACCATATCGGCACTCTCCAGCCTCACGGAAGAAGCCGAGACAACGGAGTGTAAAGTTGTTTGATTTGGTCGGCTCATCGTGACGGCACTCGACACCTAGGAGTTTGGATAAGAGCTGGATCCTCGCCTTTGCTACTTCCGGGTTACTGGTACCTTGTTGGGGTTCTGGATCGTGTTTATACTCGATCAAGACATTTTGGTTGTTGTATTTACCGTTCCTTAAGTCGCCCTCCCCAACCAGGGAGACAGCGCTCGTTGGGAACCTGGAATGTCCTTGCGGCGTATTGGTGATTAGCTTCGGGTCGAGTTCGACCGTCTCGCCCTGCGAGGGATCAAGGATAAACATGCGAGTCGTGGTGATCTTGGACATTCCAAGGGTTCTAGCATCCTTTCCCTGGAAATCTCGGAGTTCGTCCAAATTCAACGAGAAGGCATCCCGGGTGAAAAGTGTCAGCTTCATAACCTCCATCAACCTCCCCACCCAATCTCCGTGGTCTCGGGCTAAAGATTCAAGCTTCTCTCTGTTGGACAGCGCCCACTTCAGGCTCGCGAACTTTTGGGAAAATTGAGCACGAGGAAAGCGCCAGCTACTCCAAGCGCATTTTTTTTCATGCACAACTGGATTCGTTGGTCCCGGGGTTTCGATCGACTCTAAGGGGACCACCTTGGGTTCTTCTGCTTCCTTTTGTCTTTCGGAACTTCCAATGCCAATTTCCCACCATTTGTCAACCCCCTTAAGTGCCTCGGCGTATTCCTTATCGTAGCGCGCCGCCAGGCGACCATATTCTCCAACTAGGCGTTTAAGTTCCTCTAAAATCGTCCTGATTTGGTCCCTCAAACCACCTTCGATTTCATATATATATCTACTCTCAAGGAATCGTTTACCGAACGTTGATAAAAGCGTCTGCTGGTATTTGAACTCCGACTCCAGTCTCCGGAAACTATCGTCTTGGTCTCCGGCATCTGCCAGGACTTGCCTAATAAATTTTCCAATCACGAACACCTCGTTGAAGACTGCGATAGCGAGAGCCGCCGCCTCCATTGCCGAAATATGGCGGTATTATAGCTGATGATTCGGAACCTAAAAGTTCAAAATTGGCTCTAAGAATGGTTAAGAAACTGGGAAGGTTAGAAGGTGGGAGTGAATCTAATACATGCAAGACTCCTAGATCGGTGCGCCAACCATCCTTGGAGAGAAAATGGGAGCTATTTATCATCACTATAAAAGACCTTCAGGGCACCTTCATGCCTTATCTTATGAAAGTGTCATATCACAAAAGCCTGCGCACGATACAAGTACGAGTACTACCGGTAGGTACTGTACTCAAGGGTGTCCAATTAGAATTTTTGAGTGGCTGAGGTCTCAGTTGAATGTTGCCTGCATGAGAACTCCAATGCGATACAATACTCGAGTGCTCGTCTTGATAGGGCGCCGTGCAGGATGCGGTGCGACCCGAGTCAACACCTGGCGCCATGTTTTGTAACTTTATTCGCACGGGTGCTGGTACCAGTGCCGGCGCGGCGGGACACATCCCTCCTCACAATTCGTCAAATTTTGCGATTTTCGGCTGAAGCCACCCAATATTCACAAGTTGTAACCCTACGAGTAACCTGTGCAATCGAACACCTCACTCAAGGAAGCTGCCAAAGGGCGGGGTCCTCAATCCCAACGTGTTTCAAGATCCAAGCAATTCGAAACATGTGTCAACATTTTTAAAAGCTCACGAAACCGAATCGTCGCTCAGCATACAGTACCAGGATCGTACCTAGCACGATCCTACCATGGAACTTGACGATTTCCAAACACCCCTGCTCGGCGATGGATACGATCCTTCGAGAAACCGGCTTCTGAGTGAATTCTTGCTTTCTCGCGAAACCAAAAAATCTTCTGGTCCAGTAGTTTCAAGCCCTCGTTCAGATTATCCAGAGAATCTTCAGGATTTTGTTAGGTTGATGAAATTTGCAAACGTGGAGGGGCCACATTTTCAGTCTCAGGTTCATCTAGGTTGTAAATCTTTAGGCTCCGGCGCGCAGTTCGACGTATTTGGCCACCAACACTTTGTCCATGAAACCTTCCCACCTTTTGATTTACCATATATTTCAAAGATCCAGGGTTCTGGAAAAGCTCCGGTGGTTGTTGCTGTTAAACGGGCAAGATTTATGCATAGCTATGCGCAGGCCCCGGCATCAACATCTCAACAATTTGGCTTTGGGACCCCCGAACAATTGCGTGCGTTGACTCTGGAAGTCCGCACACTCACAAATCTTGCAATCCATACCCACCGAAATATTGTCAAATTGTTGGCTTGGGCGTTTGATTTTGGTGACAGTGGTACCAGGGTTGAGCCACTTAGTCTGTTACTTATTCTCGAGCATGGAATGGCAATTGTTCTCTGCGACACTTTCTCTCTAATCACAAGAGGAAAATACCGAACCCTCCTGAACAAGTTCTCCAGAAGTTGGGTCTTGATGTCGCCCAGGGGCTGGGTGCTCTCCACGATGCTGGGATCATCCACGATGATATCAAAATAGATAACGTGTTGGTATTCCCCGCTGAAGCACCCTTTTTCTGTGTTGCCAAACTTTCGGACTTTGGGTTTTCTGTGTTGGATATGGAGAAGAATTAAAAGATATATAATATCGGAACTCCCGGTTGGCAGGCCCCGGAGTTAGGTGATGTTGGTGTCAGTATTGATATGTTGACAAAATGTGACTATTTCTCACTTGGGCTTCTCATCCCACGGACAATTGTTCGTGCCCACGACGGGTATCAAAAGACTGGCCTCGAGGAAGTGAGCAGCATACTACAGCGTGCAAATATTTCCCAACCAACCCAAAATTGTATACGCGATGTCATGCAATATTTACTGCCAAGTCGGCCTCAGGAGAGGGCGTCAGATCTAGGAAAAGTTTGCGACCAGCTCTCACAAGTAGATCAGCAGGAATTCGACCGAACCGGATTTTGGTACCTATGAGAATCCTATAGTCTCAAAAAAAGACGGCAGCTTACAATGAAATAGGGTCCAAGGCCGATTCGACGACGATACGCCTTGGAAAGAGCACGAAGCCCCGGTGAACGACTCATCTATGATTCTAGGAGCCTTCCAATACTTTCAGTCAAGGGACAGGAAAAAAGGGATCCTGCTCCCGAAAAAAACGAAAAACCCGAACTACTCTTGGTTACCGATGCATAAGTTTCTCGAGGAAGTTGATGCCGATATGTATGCTAATATTGCATCCCACTACGTTAACGGCATTGATGAAGTATCCCGGAAACCCCGGGTGAATATATCTGCGGATCTAGTCGGCCGGGAAATTAGTGGGTATCAGTTGCTAAGGTTGTGCTTCTCAAGACGGCTCGATGACCTGGAGTTGGGCGTTGATCGAGCAAACGTGTATCGGAGGAAACGGGGAGCATGTGCTGCGGTGTCGGCTATGAGAGGTTACCTCTCACCTCAGGCGATTTGCAAGCTGCTCCCGGGAAGCAACAATGGTAGGTTCCGAGAAATGTTAGAAGATAACGACACCAAATGGCAACGAGACGCCGTTGCGTCGGGCTTTCTTCTTGCCCGGAAGTTTGCACATGAGCACCCGGAGGAATATGCGCTAGCCCTATCAGATTTTCGTCAGTCGGGTGGATACAATGCACATTACGCTTACAATACGATCGAGAAGGAGAGAGCGTACAGCCCATCTGGCCTTCTCTACAATGTTCAAGGCCCCCTCGGGTGGCTCAGAAACTATCCACTTCACAAGGCAGCTGCTCTTGGGCAGATTACTGAGGTCGAACGCCTGGTAGAGAGTGGGTATGGTATCGACTCCCTGGATATTGGCGGTGAGACACCGCTCCAAAGGGCATGCATGGCCGGCCATGCTTCGACCTCCCGTTATTTGGTGCGAAGGGGAGCCGATGTAACTCTTAAAAGCAAACTTCTCGGGACCGTACCACTGCACTGGCTTTTCGTATTCGAGCCGAGCGAAGCTAACGATATGGCGGATATGCTAGCGGGGCGAGAGAAGGAAAACCTGGAAGAGGGGTCCAATGTAGAGGCAGACGCCTTTCACTTCCCGTTCAAGTGGCCATCTGGATCGCCAATTGCTTGGAGTGTTCTTTCAAACAGGTCCGAAGCTATCTCCGCACTCTTGAGACTCGGATCTTCACTGACTCAATACCGGATTTCTTCCCTGCTTTGCCCGATTGGCCGGAAGTCGGTGATCCCTATGATTTGCGCTCCAACAACAGACAAATTCGGAACCTAGTCAAAGCCTGGATATATAAACCGATTCTGCAATATCAACACCCCATATCCCAGAACTTCTTTAGATATGTGGTAAAGCGCGGTGCATTGGAAAGTTTGGAAAAGCTCGACAGTGACAGACTGGATTCAAGAATTGTGGATCGCCACGGCGGTGAGTTACAAACAGCAGTGGTCGAGGGAGATTTGGATGCCGTACAGCGACTAATAAATTCTGGCGCTGATGTAAACTCTTCGCCAAGCAAGAAGGACACCCCACTGCAGGCTGCCATTGCTACAAAAAACCCTGATATTGTTAAGCTGTTACTGGACAATGGAGCGAGGGTCGATCTTTCACCAGATCCAATCGCTGGGAATCCTTTGCAACGGGCAGCCAAGATGTCTACCAGCACCTGGTCTTTTGTGGTCAACCATCTATCCTGTCTCCCTCCCCGTCTCCTCTCCTCACCCACAACCCACCCGCCCATCCCCATTCTCGCTCCTCAGACACGTTAAACACACCCTCCCACGTTAATACATCCTACACGTTAAACATAGCTACCACGTTAATACATCCTACATGTTAAACAGCTACCACGACCGACACCCCCGGAAAGTATTTGCTATCCCTCGAAAGCCATGGATTCGGCCAGCATTGGTTTCCACCTCGCTCAAGCACCAGCTATGCCGTCGACTGGGGCGACATGTTAACACATAGATCAACACATGGCACAGTGCCATGATACAGGCACGGTTTGGATTGTGACCTGGCGGTGGGCTATAGCTATCGGCTTCCTAATCGGGATCATGTGCGGCGGAGCCACATCACGGGTTTCGTGCGCCCGTGCCATGAATACTCGTTTAGCTTCGCGGGGGGGGGGGTCCAGGCCGAAATAGGAAAGGGTTCGCAGATGATACACCCATCACACCACAGGCCACTGATACCCACACCGACATCCATGCCTACTCCGATGCTCCTGGTATGGTCCTCGCCATTTACATAGTACATCTCGTAGTCCTCGCGATAGCTGAGTGCGTTCTCATCCTCGTCATTCGGATTGGGATGTGGTAGTGGGCATAGGTGGCGGTAGTGGGAGGGTGCAAAAAGGCTGTCTGTGGTTTTCTAACTAGGGCTGGGGCTGTACGTTTCTATTTTCGTTCACAAGAATTTACATTACCATAGCGGGCTACACCGCAGATTCTAGCTTCGATCCTGGTTGCGTTTGCACGGCCTACATCGCAGGGCAACATGGAAGCACTATGTCCACCCAGTGGGGTTATTGCTCATCATGCAGAAGCACTTCCTTTTTTTATTTTGATCTCGAGTGATATGCCGTGATCGCGCATCATGCATGGGGAAGCACTTCAGTTCTCCTGTTATTACTGAAAATGCTTCCGTCTCTACTACAGTTTCACAATTCCATTAAATGCCGTGGCCGCACCTCGAACTCTTACACGATTGAATATACCTCCATGGACCTCTTTCACTCGTTCCTACCATCGTTCGCTCCTGCTCTATGTCTCGCCCCAATCAGTAGATAGTTCAGGTATCCTGAACCTCACTAAGAGTTCCTCAATTTCCCAAATCATCGTTCCAGCTCACTATGCCAACTATCTAAACAGCGTTGAATGATGCCGAGTGATATCCCGTGAACAGCCACCACTCCCGCCAGCCACTCTGGCTGACCGACATGTGTCACACGAATCCGCCCCCCGGAGCCTACAGTACATTAGGCAAGAGTTATACGCGCGTAGAGGATACACTCTAACAGTAGCTCATTCATCATGATCCTGAGAGTACAAAGTACAAGCCTTACAGTAGCGTCTCCATACCGATTACCCGGGCACTGAATGCGCACCGAAACCTTGAGGAACATCCCGGCACAACGGAAGACGAAGTCCTGATTTGTGATCCGAACCCTCACCTACCGTAAAATAGGTTTCTAGGCATCGCTGCAAAGTGACGCCGGCCCTTTGGTATCCCTCTTCTGTCAATCCTCCTTCATCAGGCAATGATTACCTAAAATTAACCTAAGGCGGAACAAGTGTCTCGCTTACCCAATTTGAGTGCTAACCGAGAGTGGATAAAGGACCACTGGATGAGTATCCTAAATTCAAATTCATGTGGCGCTTACGTAATCTGTGCGCTAACTCAAAGCGGATGAACAACCTTGGATGAGTATAATATGCACCAATATACTCACCCAACAAATTTCATCCACTATTGGTTAGCACCCAGATTAGGTGAGCGCCACCACGATTTACTTGTAATACCGACACCATCCACCCCGGGTTAGTGCTCAAAGTAGGTAAGGGGCACAGTGATTTAACATACTCGTCCAGCCAGTGTTCGCGAAACTACACAGGACGGTGCAAGTAATGCTTCATGATACTATAATTATTCGTTTGGTAGTATGATATATGATTTCTACTAGGGTTTGTACCGAATGTCCGAGCTCTAGGCTGGACGGTTGGGAACACTACACCCTGCGGCCTATCCTCTGCCTACGAGTAGTTCAACGTTGCTTGATGGATTGATTGATAAAGTGTTAAATTTGGATTCCGGGATCACTGTGTGCCATAGGTCAGGCTTCTGGTCCTACGAGTAAATGAGAACCTGGTCTTACTTTATGCCGGGATCCTCATGCGGGTTTTAATTTTTGTGGAGAGCTAAGGCCAGTACCTTGTACTCTTGCGATCACGACGAATAGGCTTTACGGGCGCATTGGCTGTGGACCGATGTATTGCGGCTCCAGGGGAGTGGATTCATATTATTAGGTTTCAATAGTAAGCTGGCCGGGCAAGATTGGGCTATCACGGGCTATCACTCAGCGTTAAAGAAATGAAGTGTTACTAGACGATGCGTAATAACCTCATCTGGGGAGGATAGTGCTTCCATGCCATCCTGCCTTGTATACCATGCAAACATAACCTGGAGTGAAACTAGAGCCTTGGCCCATTATGAGAATGTAAATCTCTGCGAACAAAAATAAAAGTAGAAGTGTGACCCCCCACCATAGAAACATGTACGTTGAAGGTAAGATGAAGAATTGTGAAAGGAAAAGTCTGTATATATAGGGCACCTCTGGTAATATATAGAGAACAAGGACTCCAAGTTTTTCGCTCCAGCACATAGCTTTTTTTATTATTTTGTTTGGATGATTGGTTATGTGATTAGGTTTAGAGTGATAACCCACCCCCCTTCAACTCACAGCCGCTAGTTTCTTGGGTACCAGCCTCACAGGAGGGTTCATGGGCTACTTGTTGCGCCATGCTTATCTAAGATAGGGTTTGGGGTTATGGTTTAGTTTGTTTGCTATTTGGTTGACAACTGTCCTTTCCTCTTCCTCCAACTCGCCAGCTTCTACCTACCTCTCCCCTTTTAATTTCCCCGCTACCAGGATCACCCAGCAAACTCTATCAAACAACAATGCCATCGGTCGCTATGATGGCTGCTAGGGCCGTTCGAATCCCTCCTTATCCCTCTCCTCGCCTTTACTCTCCCGGCACCTCTTTTCCTTCCAGGCTCCATGCCAACCAGTTTCCAGCATCTCGTCTCTGGTTCTCCCAGTTTCAGTCTTCTGCCCCGGGGACTGAAGGACAGGGAACTCACTCAGGACTTTCCATGTCGTGGTCTTGGGAGTTATTCCGTTCCTCGCAGCATATCCGGAGATTTTTTGTGAAGTACTTTAATCTTTCCCGAGAACCATCTCTGTGCCTCCACCACCTTTGCTAGACGGGAGCTGGCAGAATGACCTATAGGATTCCAAAGTATATAATTAGCATCTTTTTCACGAAAAACAGAAGCTTGAAAGTTTAAACGAAACCTGCCTAGCATTTGGATCAGAGCATATCAAACCCACTCAAACTGAGCTTTCCACCATGACGTTGAAACAAGTTCCTCGTACTCCTCCCCCTCTCGACCCAGCCCCAAACCCCGTGCTGAAACCTTACCTATATAAGAATTATCACACCAACTA